ATTCCCATGGTCAAAGTTGAAAGCAAAAGGATGTAAAGTGAAAAGTCTCTCGCCCTTGTCCCCCAGCCACCTCGTCCTTCCCCCCAGAGGCAACAAGTGGTATCAGCGTATCCTAGGGATGAAGAGCTTCTTTGAAAGCCCTTTTAGATCTTTATATTTTCAGAAGACTCAAAACCTTGCCACAGCTGGGTGTTCCTTGGGGTTTTCACTCCCCTCCGGCTTCCAAGGCCACCAGCCAGGTGTCAGCTGCGCATGGGAGGGAGGGTTTGGAGGAGCTGAAGAAGAGACTGGCCTTGGGGATGACACTTATAGGAGTCATTGTTTTTTTCTGCACAGCTCTGATTTCAAAAAAGGAGAGTGTATTCATATATTACTTGTGCTATTAAAAATTAATTTAAAAAATAGTGCCCATTTCAGAAGGTAGTTGTGAGGACATGGGTAGAGCGCCTGGTCTGTATTAAGTGATCAGTAAATGGTGATTTTCCTTATTGTCACCTTTCTTATGACTTTGAAGGAGGAGGGTCTGGGGAAAGGCATCTTGAGGACGTTATACCTGTGAGATCTGTTTAACCCTGTTTCTTCCCTCCAGCAACGAGGAATTGGGATGAACGAGCCGCTGGTGGACTCTGAAGGCTACCCCCGGTCAGATGTGGACCTGTACCAAGTCCGCACTGCCAGGCACAACATCATCTGTGAGTGGCCCTGTTGGGGCATGGCCCCCTACCACGTGGTGGGGCATGTTAAAGGCACATAAATGAAGTCACCAATGGTTGATGTTATCTGCCATCCTTTCTTCTGCCTTGATGGGATTATCTTTGTCCCCATCAAGAGACTGAGAACCAAGGAATGGGCTAGACTCTGGGATTCTATAATTCTGGTTTCTTCCTTTCTCTTCTCTTCCTCTTCTCTTCTCTTTTTTTTTTTTTTTGGCAGGGTCTCATTCTGTTACCCAGGCTGGAGTGCAGTGGTGTCATCATAGCACACTGCAGCCTCAAACTCCTGGGCACCAGTGTATCCCCTGCCATTGCCTCCTCAGTAGCTGGGACTACGGGAATGTACCACCATGCCCAGATAACTTTTCTATTTTTTGTATAGACAGGGTCTTGCTATATTGCCCAGGCTGGTCTCCAGCTCCATCTCAGCCTTTAGGCCTCAAATGATTCTACCTACTTGCCTTCCCAAAGTTGTTGTAGATTATGTGTGCAGCCACTGGCGGCCCAGGAATATTCTGCGTGTTTCCCCTCTTAGGCCCCTCTGACTTGCCAAATCATAGGGAACTACTCCACTTGCAGGCATGTTGTCTCCTATAGCGTTTTATGTGTTTAATTTGTTTTTACTAAGAACTCCAGAGAGTAAGAGGTTCGGGTGATATTTCGTTTTGTTTCTGCATAATAATGGCCACAGACTTAGTGGCGTTCATA